CGATGTCGCAGGCCTAGAGATCGACACCAACACCAATACTCTAGGCCGCCTAGGTGGGGTCGGGGCAGATGGGGTCGTAGGATCGTGCCGCATCGCCGGTGCGTCGGCGATGCAGCTCGATGCGGAGCCCGAATTCCTCCACGCCGACGTCGCCGATGCATCGCCCACGTCGACGATGTAGCGCCGGTGCATCGCCGATGCATCGCCGATGTATCGGCGATTCGGCTCGATCCTCCGACCCCACCTACTCCGACCCCATCTAGGGAGCCTGTAAATATCGGCGGTGCGCATCCACCGAGGGAAGAAGATCCCGATCTCGGCGATGGTGGTAACTTTCTGGCTTCAAGGTGACCGAAATATGACCACCAGCACCGACATCCAGGATCCTCTTCCCCCTGTGGAGGCAGCCCCCGTGTTGGTGTTGGTGCCCATTCCCAGGCCTCCGACGATGCCCAGCAGCAGTTCTTGTTTTGGACAGGACTCGTGGTCCGCGCCGCCGCGGGCGCTGTCCACTTAAGGCAGAAGGCCGCCTGCCCAGAAGCGGCCGCTGCCGGTTTTGGGGACAACATTTGCTGTTGGGCATTGTGCCCATTTTTCCGTACCCGTTTCGGGCGTCCAACAGCTCGCCGGGGGGGGGGACGGGTCTTGAGGGAAATGGGTCTTGCGTTTTTTCGCCGATTTCGGGCTCTCGGGGCCCTCCACTCTAGGCCTCCTCGGTGGGTCGGTGCAAATGGGGTCGGAGGATCGCGCCGCATCGCCGATGCATCACCGATGCGGCTCGATGTGGGGCTGATTTGCTTCACGTCGACGTCGCCGATGCATCGCCGACGTCGACGATGCATCGCCAGTGCATCACCGATGCATCGGTGAAGCGTCCTCGCTTGCCTATAGGCCCACCACAGAATGTTACAATAAGCTGTTGTGGTCTGCACGACATGTTTCTAAAACATTTCTGGCCGAGGCTGTCTTGGTTTGACACATCGGGCTTATGTTCTCAGAGCATTGTTTCTATGATTCGAGCACTTGGGTTCTAAGACTACTTCGTTGCAGGCCCGCTAGGAATGCCGGGACGGCCGGTCTCTCCTCCGCCCGAGGGAAGCGGGCCCTGAGGTTTTTTGCCCTTTTCGGGCTCTCGGGGCCCTCCACGGGCCCCGGGACTGTCGGCGAACGGCTCAGGGCGAGGAGCTCATCTCAAGGGAAGGCCCCTGGGCCCAGGCCCCAGTTCCCAGGAGGGACCCGCCTCCCCGTGGCCAGCAGCAGGCTCCCGCCGCCGCCAGGGAGAGGAGATCGGCGCGCCGAGGGTGCGGGCTGGGCTTCCACTTAGAGGAGGAAGGTGCACCCGTACCGTCGGGGCCCTGAAGAAGGAACCCTTTTTGTTGGGGAGGGGCTCCGCGTTCCTTAAGTGTTTCGCAGCTTGCCTTGGATTTTCCTTAGGTCTTCGACCAGAAATCGAAGGTTAACTTATGGAAAATAGGGGCCTCGTTCCTTATTTAGGGTTCCTTAGGTCAACGCCCCGACTGTACTGTTACCCTTCGTTCTGTTTTCCCCTGTTTTCGTCCTCCTGGGAGGCTGCCGTCGTCACCGCTGGATTCACTTCGAGATTCTGGTCAGAAGGGACCCCGGGAGAGGTCCGGGGAGCAGCGGTATCGGCACCTTCTTTCGTTTCACCACACATCCGCCCACTAAGCAGAATACAGCCCTAACCCTAGTAGCACAACGAGTTCGTGTCCTAACTTAGGTCCACGGCTTTGGGGGATGCCCCGACACACACAATGATTGTTTGGTCTGATGTATCTGCCCAAACAACCCCGCATCTCTAATGTTTGCGGCCCTCCTAATGTAGGTCCCCCAAAGGATTAGGGCGTACCATCCATATCCCTTGCGTCTTTGGCTTTCTGGTAAGGGTCGCCAAAAAGCCAGTGCGCAGGGGGTTTGGATAAAGATCTAGCCTCTGGGGGCCAGACTCCTCTTCATATCCACTGCGCCTCGGGTGTCTGGGGAAGGGAGCCCGAAACTCAAAGATGCAGTGGGTATAGGTATACAGCTTGTCCGCAGAGGGGGGGCCCTGAAATTCTCTCGTTATGAGATAACCGCGATGCAGGTTTGTTGCCCATGCTCGGCATCTGGGGGCCCTCACCAGGCCTCAGAAACGTCAGAGAACGACGCGGGATGAGAATCTTGTCCTGGGGAAGGGGTCCACATTTCTAGGGAACCACATTGTGAAAAGATCCAGGCGGAGGAAGCCTGGGAAGTGAGAAGGGGCAGCTCTTACCAGAAGGCGGCGGGGTTTCTCCGAAGCGTTTTGGCCTTCTGAGAAGCCCTCTGGTGGATTCGTGGAAGGCTCAGGACGTTTCTCTGAAGACTGGAGCCCATAGGGGGATTGTGGAGAGACTTCTAGGCGTCGCAAACAAACAGGGGGTCTTAAAAAACAGTGGTCATGCAGGTTTTTTCACTGCTGTCGAGCTCTTGTGGCCCTCCCTGGACACGGCCAACAAAGAACGAGCAAGGATGAATAACCAGTCTGGGGGAAAAACCCAGGATCCATGATCCATTTCAGCCCAGGGGGTTCCCCCTCCCTCATGCCAACAACCTCTTGAACACATAAATACAAGGTTTTGTTCGCAGGGCCGAGGATCTAGGCTTTTGGATGCGTTCGAACCGTCTTGGGCCTCCCGGGGCGCTACTTCAAAATCAGGATCAGAACGCACTCCAGGACATGTGGGGGGGGTCATCTTGAGAGATGAGCCCAGGCCTTCAACTTGGCATCGCTCGGACTTGTGCATTTTTTCGGCGAGGACTATCGGGGAGCATCCTCGACCATCGGGCCAACAACACGCACGAAATCTAACATTTGCACGGGGAATGGGCGTCCGAGCGATGGCAAGCCAACGCTGTCATGGAACAAGGCATGGCGGACGACGTTTCACAGTGTCGGTTTCTGGTGGCCGTCTTCGGGCTGCGGGATTGTGGAACAACTATCTGGTGGCATCATGTGCTTTGGGATCATTCGGTCGGACCGAGGTATAAGATCGAGGTCGGTTCGGGGAGGGTACCCTCAGGGCACTCGTGTTTGTTGGATGTTCGTGTGCATCCTGGGGGGAGGGTACCCTCGAATATTCTTCTGCTTGCCCGGCGCAGGGTCCCGTGTTCTTGAAGGACGTTCTCACGTCTGAGGGCCAGCTGTATGGAAACCTATCTGGAACTCTCTATGGAAACCCTTCAGGGAAAAATCCGGAGGGAAAAACACACACATACACAATCAGTTGTCGATTCCAAGGAAAATATGCGAACCTATGGGAAGGGGGGGGGGGAGACGAACATCCATATATATATATATATACACATATATATGTGTAAATATATATATATATATATGGAAAAATACGGGGAATCCTGTTATTTGTGTGTGTGTATTTAGTTGTGTGTCCCAGGGCCCCTTCAAACAAGTCGAACAAGATACGTCAAGGGCAGAAAAAACGCCCCTACTCTGGTTTACGAGGCGCTGTGCTCTGAAACTCCTGTGGGCTGACAGGGTAAACCCTGCGTGATGTGCCGCGTTCTGGCGGCTCTAGGCTTTCAGGGTTCCCAGGAGGTTTACAGACCACGCACTTGCAACCCAGGGTAGGGTCGTTTGTTCATCCCTCAAATACGGACACCGGAGGGTCTTGGCCTGCGTGCCCCCGAGCCGGACCTGCGGCGTCGTGGTGCTCCCTGCGCGCTCGCGCCGCCGTCGGAGGGGGCGTCGTCGTTGTTGTGTTTGGTGTGGTGTTCTTTCGGGGCTCCACGAGGAGGAGGAGGAGGAGGAGGAGGAGGAGGAGGAGGAGGAGGAGGAGGATGAAGAAGACGAGCGATGAGGAGGAGGAGGAGTAGGAGGAGGAGGAGGAGGAGGAGGAGGAGGAGGAGGAGGAGGAGGAGGAAGGTCCCTCATCCCCACTGGATGGGCCAGGGTAGCTCAGCCCCGCCGGCCCGCCCACCTTTGCAGGGATCGGGCGCCCGCGAGACCCCAGGGGAACAGCACACATCCCAACCGGCCAGCGGGGCCAAGGCCACCTCAGTTGGGACGGGGATCGGTTAAGCGATGCTCAGGTAATGATGATGATGCTGATGATGATGATGCTGCTGATGATGATGATGACGATAATGGCGATGATGCTGATGCTGATGCTGATGCTGATGCTGATGATGATGATGATGATGATGATGATGATGATGATGATGATGATGCTGATGATGATGAGTATGATGATGTTGATGTTGTTGATGATGATGTTGTTGTTGATGATGGTGATGGTGATGATGATGATGATGCTGATGATGATGATGATGAGGAGGAGGAGGAGGAGCAGGAGGAGGAGGAAGAGGAGGAGGAGGAGAAGGAGGAGTAGCCGGAGGAGGAGGAGGAGGAGGAGGAGGAGGAGGATGAGGAGGAGGAGGAGGAGCAGGAGAAGTGGGGATGGGGGCGCGAAAAAACAGCCTGGCTGCGAGGACCTTCTGCAGTGCCCCCGACCACCGTCTGGCAGTGCCCGCTGCGATCGGGCGCCCGTCCGACAATCAGAGCTGGAGGAGTAGGAGAAGGAAGGAGGAGCGTATTGGAGAGGCCTGGCGGCCGGTGCCGCCGACCCTGATCGAAGGGGCTTTCTTGGGCTTGCTCTTGGCGCTCTCTTTGAGCTTCTCGGGAGACGCTAAAATGAACGATGTTAGCTCCTGGGGCTCTCTTGGGCTTGCTCTTGGCGCTCTCTTTGAGCTTCTCGGGAGACGCTTGGGCCGTTTTCGGACAGTCCTGAACGTCTTGGGGCGATCGTTCGGGGATGCGTTGCGCTCAGAGCTGGGGGAGTAGCAGAAGGAGGGAGGAGCGTATTCCTTTGGAGGGTGTGTGGGGGGGGGCAGGCCCTCGCGGCCGCGGCCTGTCTCGGCCCGAGGTCCTTGTGGTCGGGGCGCGCCCGTGGAGTGGTCGGGCCCCTGGGGCCCCTGGGCCCAGAAGGCCGGCCGGGAGCTCTGAGGCCTGCGGCGCGGGCACGCCCTGGCATCCTCTCGTTGACGACGGATGATCTCTTGCCAAGCTTCGGCGCCAAGGGGCCCCTGCTGGGCCCTGTAGACTTTAGTGCTTCTCAGGACGGGGAGACGGCCCCCGGGGAGGGGCCCAGGTCTCTCGGGAGCCACGCTGCGAGGGCGTCGACGACGTCGCGGCTCTGAGCACCAGCACGTCGGAGATCTGGGCTGCCGGTGCAGGGGGCCAGTGCCCGGGGCTCTGCTCGTGCGGCGCCGGGCGCTCCACCCTCCCCCGCCTCCCCCCAGCCCGGCCGCCGAGGACGTCCCGGCGGACCGCTCCTGGGCCAAGGGGCTGTCTGGCGGCGTGCTCAGCGGGCCGCGGTGCCGTGCCCCTGCTCTTGCGGCGCCTTCCCGCCCGGCCGGGGACGGCGCGGGAGGGCTCCGTCCGCCGCCTCGTGCGGCAGCAGGGCATCATCCGAGGACCAGGGGGCCCGGGCACCAGACGCCCCAAAGGGGCTCCTCAGCACCCTCACGAGGCCCATCTCCTGATTCAATTGCATGAAGAAGAGACAGATATAGTGCATAACGTAGAGTTGAGGGGCACTTGCGGAACTTATGAGGCCAGCTTTTTAAGTAGGTTTATATCAATTCCAAGTGAATATATATCTCAGATAAGTTTGGTAAGTTCCCCCTCTGTTTCTCGTACCTTGGCCACAAACCAATAACTCGATAATGGAACGGGTAAAATTATCCTGGCGAAGGACCCAACCATATGCAATTGTGAATACTGCAATTGTTGATATCTTCTCGGTGGAGCCCCCTACGGGGCAACGAAACGTACGAGGGGTGTGCCGAAATGGGCGTGCGGGACGCATGCGGGCACACCCACTGGGGCCTTCGGTGGGGCTCTCTATGGGGCCAAGAAACGTGTGAGGGGTGTGCCGAAATGGGTGTGCGGGACGCATGCGGGCACACCCACTGGGACCTTCGGCGGAGCTCCGTATGGGGCCACGGAACGCGTGAGGGGCGTGCCGACATGGGTGTGGCTGACGCATGCGGGCGCGGGCACTGGGGCCTTCGGTGGAGCTCCCTATATGGGGCCACGAAGCGTGTGAGGGGTGTGCCGAAATGGGTGTGGCTGACGCATGCGGGCGCTGGCACTGGGGCCTTCGGTGGAGCTCCCTATGGAGCCACGAAACGTGTGAGGGGTGTGCCGAAATGTTGTGTGTTGCGCATGCGGGCCGGGCAACTGGGGCCTTCGGTGGTAGCTCTCTATGGAGCCACGAAACTGTGAGGGTGTGCCGTGAGGGTGTGGCCGAAATGGGTGGTGTGTGACGCAATGCGGGCGCGGGCAATTGACTGGGCCTTCGGCGGAGCTCTCTATGGAGCCACGAAACGTGTGAGGGGCGTGCCGACATGGGTGTGGGTGACGCATGCGGGCGCGGGCACTGGGGCCTTCGGTGGAGCTCCCTATGGAGCCACGAAAAGCGTGTGAGGGGTGTGCCGAAATCCCCTGTGTGGGTTGAACGCATGCGGGGCTCGTGGCACTGGGGCCTTCGGTGAGCTCCCCTATGGAGCCACAAACTGTGAGGGGTGTGCCGAAATGGGTGGGGGTGAACGCAATGCGGGCGACGGCACTGGGGCTCTTCGGGGGAGGGGTGGAGCTCCCTATGGAGCCACAAAACTTGTGAGGGGTGTGCCGAAATGGGTGTGGGTGACGCATGCGGGCGCGGGCACTGGGGCCTTCGGTGGAGCTCCCTATGGAGCCACGAAGCGCGTGAGGGGTGTGCCGAAATGGGTGTGGGTGACGCATGCGGGCGCGGGCACTGGGGCCTTCGGTGGAGCTCCCTATGGAGCCCCGAAACGTGTGAGGGGTGTGCCGAAATGGGTGTGGGTGACGCATGCGGGCGCGGGCACTGGGAGCCTCGTGGAGCTCCCTAATGGAGCCCACGAAAATGTGAGGGGTGTGCCGAAATGTGTGGGGTGACGCATAACGCATGCTGGGCCGCGTGGGCCGCGGGCACTGGGGCCTTCGGTGGAGCTCCCTATGGAGCCACGAAACGTGTGAGGGCTGTGCCGAAATGGGTGTGGGTGACGCATGCGGGCGCGGGCACTGGGGCCTTCGGCGGAGCTCCCTATGGAGCGACGAAACGTGTGAGGGGTGTGCCGAAATGGGTGTGGCTGACGCATGCGGGCGCGGGCACTGGGGCCTTCGGTGGAGCTCCCTATGGAGCCACGAAACGTGTGAGGGGTGTGCCGAATTGGGTGTGGGTGACGCATGCGGGCGCGGGTCCTGGGGCCTTCGGTGGAGCTCCTACTACGAAACGCTGTACTGGGTGGGTGAAACGCAGGGAAGAGGGGGAGGAGGGAGGAGGAGGGGGAGGAGGAGGAGAGGAGGAGACGCGGGGCACCGTCTCTTCAAAACGAGGACCCAACACCACAGGATGGTTGGGAAAACCAGAACATTGAAATGCTACAATCTCACATAAGGGCACGACGATCACGATATCC